CTGATGACCTGATGTACTGATGACCTGAGGAGAATGTTTTCATCCACTTGGAATCAATGTGGGTGAAGCAGTTTTTCCAAATAATAATAATAATAACTTTATTTATAGCACCTTTTAAAAACAGAGTTTACAAAGAGCTCTGAGAGACAAAAGCAGCAGAAACAAGACAATAACAATAAGAGAGAGCTCAGTGAGAGTCCATCTGATCACAATAAACTGAGAAATAAATAAAGAAAATAATTTAGTAAAATAAAATGGCCTCTAGTGTTCCAACTAAGAAGTGCAATATACAAAACAAAAAGACTGATTTTGTTTGCAGCAAATCACCGCAAGAGTTGTTTGGTTGAACGTGTCCTGTGATTGGTCCTCTGCAGCAGCAGCTACAACTCATCCAGTCTGTTTAAAGCAGCGTGGCTCTGCTACACATCTGATCAGAATACATGCAAAATATGAAGAAGGATCATTTCTATGTAACATTATGTGAATGAGGAGGGGACTCGATGGCATAGATGAAAACTCCTCCTTCACATGATGGTATCGAATGAAGTAGAAACAGAAGTTATGAAATGAAGTACTGGTAGTAGTTTAGACGATACTCAGCTCCCCGTCAGGAGCTCAGACTAACGACGGGTCACTGGACCCACAGACACAACAAAGCTCTCATGCTGTTACATAAGAGAGACGCTGAGTGCTCCGTCCTCCAGCTGCACGTCCCCGACAGCCTCACAGAGGACACAGATAAACCTCATCAGCCCTCCAGCTGCTCAACATCTGGAGGCCGGATGAGGTCACGGTCACCGACCTGTGACACGGACATCACAGGTTCGACTCCCGGTAAGTCCTCAACAGAACTACAAGCCGAAGGTCCAGAGAGAGATTCATGATGTATAAGTGTGTGTGTGTGTGTGTGAGAGAGAGAGAGAGTGTGTGAGTGTGTCTGCATTAATCCTCAGTAATACGGCTCCTAACAGGAGTTAATCCAGCGCTAACGAGCAGCTGTCAGATGGATAGCAGGCTGCTCGTCTCTACACTCAGACGCTTTAAAGGTCCTCAAAGTGACAGCAAGGTACGGAAGCCCATTAAGGCCAACAACAAAAACACAAAAAATATGTAAAAATACTATACATTTGAGTTACAACAATAATTGAGATACGTAAAATTATAGTGAAGTTACAAAAGACAAAATTAAATAACTATATTTAACAATTCTACATAGTAAATAAAAATATTTTATACTTCATTTTTCACAGTAAAAAAATATTATTTGTATTTACCTTTTTCACAAAAAAGAGTTATTATTTTCTATTTGATTTTGAGTCTAAATTATTACTTAGTCCTGATTATGAGATAATAAGTAAACAAAAAAGATTTAGGAAGATCACAATATTAAGTCAGATAAACTTAACCTGTTTGGGTTTTGGTAACTTTTTTGGTTGATTAAATGTCGTCGACTGAAATTCACTCTTTCAGACGGATCAAAGCAGCCACATGTTGCTCCGCCCTCTGTGTAAGCCCCGCCCACAGTCAGATGAGGTCATCAGGTGCAGCAGCTGCTATATTTCAGCGCTAATGCGCCACGAACACAGATTAAAACCAGAACTGTCATGAAACCCAGTGAGCCATCCAGATGTTGTTCATGAGCCTCCTGAAGGAACCAGCAGAGGTTAAGCTGAGTAACGTTTAATCAACAAAGGATTTACACAACTTTAAATAAAGGAATATACATACATATATACAGATACTCAAACACATATACACACACACACACACACACACACACACACACAGACCCCTAAAGCATCATAATCGATGAATATAACCCTGAACTCACAGAATGGGACACAAACCAAACGGAGATATTTTAATCTTTTAGTCTGAGTTCTCACCTCGTTCCTCTCTTTTGAGATCAGGACGAAGCCGTTGTTGTCGACCAGGAAACAGTTCAGATCCTGAGCAGGAAGTAGAAGGACAGAAGAGGAAGTGTGTGTGTTTAGGGTTTTTCAAAATAAAAGAAGTAATGTTGGGTGAGGAGCAGACAGATCGGTAGAGGGATTACTTACAGCGCTGTCACAGCTGAGAGGACACACGCCTTCAATGGCCGAACACTGAGAGAGAGAGAGAGAGAGAGAGAGAGAGAGAGAGAGAGAGAGAGAG